ATGTTACTATTTTCAGTTTCATAAGGGCCTTTTACAGCATCAATAATATATATTTTTATTTAGTTTAACAACAAACATAAATCAATAGCCCTATTACGCCTAGTCTGCTTTATTGAGCTGAAGTGCGCGCTTGTGATTTCAGGAGGCGTGGCTTTGAAACACAGTCCCTCCCCTGCCGTCCAAAGATAATATGCTAACTGGTTAGCTATTTAGCAGATCACCTACTGCACCTTTTAAATGCAAAAAAAATAAAAAATCAGTAAGTAAAGTAATGCCCTGCTACATTAGTTATCCGTAATCTCATATACACACAACCACTTAATCCTCGGGTCTGAATGAAAACACAGTGGATTGCTGTGCAGCAGGTCTCTTGCCCTGTCTATTCCAATCAATTGCCCTGCCGTCTGGAGGATTTTAATCATTGACAAACACAGCAGCACAGATAGGCAATGTGTCTGAATGAAAACAAACAACTAATAAAAACAAAAAGTCTGCCACTCTCTAAATTTCGTACAGCTCTCTCGACAAAAATGCCTGCTGCAAACCAACAGCTTTGCTGTATTGGCCTTGACAGCATCACAGGGGAAAACATGCAACAAACCCCGTGGATCATGGAAACAAACACATACCCGTGCCGTGGTCTCGTCCAGTCATTGGGTCTCACAGCATGGCAGGTTTGCCTTGCCTTCGGAAAGCACATGCTCTAATGAATAATTAAGAAACAGGGTCTTCTCATAGGATAAGAAAACTCCTATATGAATAATAATGAGAAACTGATGCATCATCACTCCACTAGCAAATTTGCGCTACATTACCGATTTTGATCCCATCCCAAAAATTATTTTAAACCCGGAAGATGAAATTAGCTGATAAAAGCTAAAAGTTTTCCAGTTTTCCCCACAATTATAGCTGACAGGTGCCAATGTTGTTTTAACTGATACTCAACACACACAAATCTGTAAAAATTTTCAAAAAAAAAAAAGGAAAAAAAGTGCTCCAGGGTGTCTTAAACCTTTACAGGGTACCTATGATGAAAAACTACTTTTGTAAGCTGTTTGGACAGAAATTGGTGTAGGCATAGTTTGTCCACTGTCATTTTGTGACAAAGTCTCTTTTTAAAAACTTCCAAATCCCTATTTTAAAAAGCTAAATGTATTCAACAAAAATTCTGATCTTTACTTTTGCATGATTCCGTGTTCATGAGACAATGTTGACTCCATAGTTCACTCCAACCTCACTAATTGAGAAATCAAGATTGTTACTGAAAACAATCTGTAGATATTCATCTTAATAACATTTTAATGGGTACATATTTCTACTTAAGGTACTGTTTTTCACCTATATGAGGAAACTAATACCATTACAGTATTTTGTTTAAGATCACTGTCCAAATGACAGATTTTAATTTTTTTTTCTTATTTCTGATAGTGTAACAGACACTTTTCCAACCATCCAAATCTCTTCCCTACAGATAAAATCAAGTCTCTTTTTGCATTTTTTTCAAGTTGAATATCCTATTTAACTCAGAAATGTCACATTATGCAAGCAAAGCGGATTTCCAACTGCGACTCACGTATGTTTTTTTAAAAGTGCAAAAGATATGAATAGGTCATTTGCTATTACTATTTCCGCTCCATAAAAGCAGATTAGATTTGGGGCTCGCATTCAAAGCAGATCAAGCATGGCTCAGGCTGTAGAGAGATTGAAATGTAAACCTGGATGGAAATCTCAGTCAGCCAGGGCAAAATTCCCAGGCTAAAAATGAACAGAGTAGATCACAAGAATAGTTGTGGCATAAAGATATATGATATTAAAACTGGAGGGGCTGTCTGAATCTATAGACCCTTCATGTCATTACTTTGTGATTGAGTAAGTTGATTTTATGACCTGTTTAATTGGAGTCTTGTGGGTTGTCACCTTGACAAGTTCACAGGTTTTATTACGGTATTAATGGCATCTGAGTGCTGAAGATAATTATTACTTCTTCTCCTTATTCTCCCCCCTCATCTTCCTTTTTTCCTCTCTAATCTGAGGCATAACCAGCTCAGGAGGCTAGGTTACCCTTTTGGATAGTTATCAGAGTGTACATGATTGGTGTATTGAGTTCAAGCCTGAGATTGAATGCACTGACCCTCATCAAATGCAAACGGTGTAATGGTTTCCTAAGCATACGCCATATTTCTCAAGGTGGATGGTGATGTACGCAGCGGCTCTCGGACAGAAAAACAGCTGCGCAAAGCACAAATAAGAGCCATAATGCTCGAAGGAGAATTCACGTCACTTTTAATTTGTATGATAATAACCACTGTGAGATGACGCTCATGTATTTTTATTTATTTATCTTTTCATGTCATACCCAGGCCATGTGCAAACAAAAAATCGCTTTCAATATTTGGGTTTCAAAAGCACGTTTAAATTTCGAAAATCAAGTTTGATTTATTGGTCATCATTTAAATAAGAACATTTTTGGACATTGATCATTTGATTCTGCACAGATGGACAGATGATTTTCATTGACACTCAAGATGATCACTTGTGGATTACATGCATCTTATGTTCTACAGTTTTATTTAATATTCAAGTGAATAATTATTCATCAACTGAAACGGCATTGTATAATGTCTGATCTTGCACCCCTAGTCTATTTTATCACAACATTCAAACATTGTGTTGTTTTGATGCTTTCTGTTGTAGCAAGACATTGCTATATAATTGTCAGGCCAAATGGCTGTGGAGGAATTATTCATCTATACCACTTTTTTTTTTTAACCTTATTCTGTTGCAAATGGGAGATGGAGTCAGAAAACGGTCAAACTACTTGCTCTGCAAACAAGTTTGTTCATGACATTACAAATGTAATAATATTATAAGAAAATATCAGTTTGCAATATCAAGCAGCATAATGAGCTGTTTTCAATGTCTAAAAGTCAATGGAAGTGAATGAGATAGGAAATCATGCCAAAAAGATTCCAATCTGCTTGTTAACGTGTGTGACGTGACGTGAAGCAGCTTTCAGGTCCAAGCGCTATATCAAACTGTACGGGGAGACTCAACAAATGGTAATAATAAATGTTTGCAAAGCGATATATTACTTTCGAAAATCGCTATCACAATATTGATGTCCAAGATTAATTTCAGATGGCCAGAAAGTTGTGTACACTATGATTCATTCATTCATTCATTCATTCATTTTCTTTTCGGCTTAGTTCCTTTATTAATCTGGGGTTATCCAGCATATGTTTTACACAGGGGATGCCCTTTCAGCTTCAACCCATCACTGGGAAGCATCCATACACACTCATTTACACATATACAATTTTAGCATACCCAATTCACCAATTGCGCATGTCTTTGGACTGTGGGGGAAACTGGAGCACTCGGAGGAAACCCACGCGAATACAGGGAGATCATGCAAACTCCACACAGAATAGCTAACTGACCCGGCCAAGGCTTGAACCAGCAACTTTCAGCAACCGTGCAGCCTGTACACCAAGGGTGTCAATTCCAGTTCCTGGAGGGCCGCAGCTCTGCACAGTTTAGTTTCAACCCTAATTATACACACCTGATCAAACTAATTAGGTCTTTCAGGCTTTTTTGAGACCTACAGGTAAGTGTGTTGGAGCAGGGTTGGAACTAAACTGTGCAGAGCTGCGGCCCTTCAGGAACTGGAATTGACACCTGTGCTGTACACAATGATTTTATATAAAATTCACTTTAATGTGTGATATAACTAAAAAGTGGTTAGAAATGAATATTTTCTCAATTCAAATGAGTAGCGGCTTGGACCCTGAAACAGTATTCCATAAGTCACAGATACGGCACGACTTAACAAGCAGATGGCTGTGCCTGCTTTTACGTAAAGAAAAAAAGTCAATGGCAGTAGATGAACATGATTAAGTCATGTAATGAAATTTATTCATCAGTGTTTAAACTGCACAAATGCTTCAAATCAGCTTGTAAACATTTCACATAGTGTTGCATTTACCACAGGCAAGTCATTCAGTGTCTACAACCTGTTAGTTAACTGCTAGAGAAGAGCATTTCTCTAAAATCTTGTACTACATTTAAATATATTTCCATTTTAATCTGCATGATCTGTAAGTGATGTCTTATTTACGGATGCTCCAATCAATCAGTCAATGATGAATATCAACCAATAATCGAATTTCGAATGGTACTTTCTAAACCTTGAACGTATGGGTAATTGCTGAGTTTTCACAGCAGCAAAAAGATGTCTAGTTGTCTACAGTTGCGGTGCGACTCATGCATCCATTGTTTTTAGCTTTTATGACGCGAGTGAAACATTCGCCTCATCTTGTATCTTGTATGCAATGGCACAGTTATATAAAGCTTAAAGTATCAGAATCTATACTCTATTGGCTGATCACCTTGATAAGAAATCTGTACTTGAAATGGGCTGATTTCTTTGACAAGAAATTGGTACTCTTTATCACCTGCAAAAATCCGCATCGCACCATATGTAGTTTTGTTTAGTGTGTGTTAAAATGAATCCCTTCTGTAAATTCTTATTTTTAACAATAAAATTGTATATTTAGATCTAGGTCTTAATGCAAAAATGTGCATTTCACATATTTGCATACAGTTTGAGTGTTCAGACTGTTTTTATTTTCCTTGGGGTTGCAGCTCTCATGTGTTAATTTTTTTTAATTTGGTTTGATGCTGATGCCTCAGAGACATGAGATTTGTGTGTGGAGAGTGAAACCGAGACGGGGGAGGGGAGAGAGACAGAGAGCAGCCACATTATCCATAATCCAGTCACAGCTGTCTGCGGTTTGGCGACACCGCTACAGCAGGTCCCTGCTAATAGCTCTATATTTCATAGCGGAAAACGCCCTGCCACAACCCACTTGATGTACGACAATGTCTTCGTTTCACCCACAACCTCCCCACCATTCCTACCCCTGTTCTTGCACGCTTTACTGTCCTCTTTCTTAAACTCACCATCACTTTCTCTCTCTCTTCTTTGTCTTGCTCTGCAGTTTGATAAAGCATATGCCTACAGCATCCGCCACATGTTTGGGAAGGAAGGCAAGCGCACTGACTACACCCCCTACAGTTGCATGAAGGTGATTTTGTCAAACCCACCCAGCCAAGGCGACTACCATGGTGAGTCATACTGAGTCAGACTGTTGGTTTTCAATGCGATCCGTTCCCCCGAGGCCCATATTTAGTTCTGTAGCGAAGAGAATTAAAAGAGTGCTTAGTACGCAGGTGGTCTTAAATTAGTTCTAAAAAAATTCCCAAGTCCAGGCTGGCTAATTGATAACACCTGCTTTTCGCCATGCATGTAATGGGCAAAATCCATTTGAAAAGAGCATCATTAAAGGTAAGAGAGAGTAAGTGTGTCAAAGATTGAAGAACATTGCTGTCTTATGTGTAGATTTGCTATACTGTTGCAAGGCTTTACAGCACTTCTACTTTAATGTATGTTTTAATAATAGACAAAAATGTCATGCTTTAGGAACACTTATTTCACTTCAAAGGTGCGGTATGTAAGTTTTTGACTTTTCTAAAGCATAAAAATTCCATAATGTGTTTGCAGATATTTAAGAAACATGCTAAGTGAACATGTTTATCTGAAAAACAATGCTTAAAGAGCCCATATCATACATGAAATAGGGTCATATCTTGGTTGTAAGGGTCTCTAACAACAGTTTAATATACATGCAAGGTCAAAAAACACTTTCATGGTCTTATAATCTGCATTTATTTTTACCTAATTATCCCAGTGACTCCCGTATGAATCGTCCAGTGATTCATTTGTTCCCAAACCCCTCCTTAGCGGGAAGCTAATCTGCGCTGATTGGACCGATGATAGTCTGTCGCGATTGGTCGACTGCCTTCAGTTAGAGAGTGAAATGGCCAATAGCTAATCAGCAATATAAAAAGTAATCACAGTTCATACACGCTCGATAGTGTAGGCGTGGATTTTAGCTGCCACACACACACACAAAAACACACACACACACCTCCGGACGACAACGCTCCCGCTTCCGCCCGCACCCGCCAGGTTTTAGCCTGAGAACCCGCTCCGTTTTCTGCCCGCCGAAAACACACACACAGCACCAAGCACACAAAGCTCGCTCTCGCTCGCTCGCTCTCTCTCTCATATGCGCGCGTGCGCAATAACACACACACAAGCACCAAGCAGACTCTCTCTTTCTCATTCGCATAGCAATATCCGTGATATTGCTAGACAGCCCGCTCCCGTCCCAAATTAAACCCGTTACCGACCGCTCCCGCGATTTATTCGGAAATTTATTCCCGCGCCGCAGAAATCTGGCGTGGGGACAGCCGTGGGAATGCAGAACTCTACCACGGAGCTCCATACACAAAGCAGCACGCGTCGCGTTTTTAACGTGACTTTGCACGCGATAAGAGAATATAGCCAGTTAACCTGATACAGTACACTCGGTTACAAGTAACAAATCACAACTAAATACATTTGCAAGCTAGAGTCAACGAGGCAACAACTTTAACCGCACGTACTTACACTTGAGAAAGGTAGGAAGAAACCCATCCTGACGTCCATCATTAAGTTACTCTTTACTGATCCTTCCTTTAACAAACTCAGATGAAGTATTCTTTGTAGCATGTAGCTTCCAGAAGTTTCCAGTACTTTCCAACTGCTTGGTTATAATGCTGATGTTTCATCTTTGGGTAGAGACTCAATATATCCATCTGCAGTGTGACTTCAATCGACCGGCATGTTTGTGTGCGTGTGTGTGTGTGTGTGTGTGTCTGGGTTTCTGCGTCAGAGGGCGGGGCCTCAGGTTTGAAATCTCCCGGGTTTGCGCGTGCACGTGAATAACTTGGTTTCGTTCGTACGTCATGGCGAAACACCTAATGAATCGGTATCAAGGCGACTCGTTTGAAGCACTATGAGTCGACTCTTTTATAGATAAATAAACCGTTTTAAACACTGTATTCTTACAGATTTAGGCCTTAGCTGGATACTTCACTTCACTTAGAGCTGTGTTACACACTACATGGAGGGGAATTTTCAAAAACCCATAATATGGGCTCTTTAAGTCAGATATTCTGCTTTAAAAATGTGCATTACATGCCAAAAGATCTGTCTTTGTTTTGGTCATTTAACCCAATGCCAGTTTAGCAAATTATATTTCAGCACCCCGGGTTGTTTTGGTGGAAAACAGTGTATTTCATTTATTCAGTCAGGAAGGCTCTTGAAGTGTGCATCCGCGACCGAAATGCGACCTTTAGTGAACAGTTGCAGACTTCAAATTAAAACGCAGATTCAGAGTTCCTCATGAGGTGGTTATTTTTTAGCAAATAACATAAATATTACAAACATAAACATTAGGTGAGCAGGTTACATTGTAACTCTGTCCTAACAACAAGCAATGTGACGAAATCTGCTGTGATAAGCAGTTTAGCTGTTTGCACCAGATGAAACATGACTTTAAATATAGCCGTTCAGAAGCACAGAATACTGCACTCACTGCACTCCAACGAAAGGGTAGAGTTTATAACCTAATTAATACACAATAAACCTTTTTAACATAATTAAATGTAGATGCTGAATCACTGATATTTGTTGGCTACAGCTCACAAGTCACAGCTCTCACGTTCAGTTTCAAATGGTTTATTTTAATTTTAAAATTTGAGGTGAACTTTTTGCTGCTGCTTTCAGTAGTATGGCAATATATGTCATGTAAAATGGCATTCAAGTTCACATTACTAGCATTTAACACTGAATAAGGCACATAGATGTGAACCTGAGGGCATCATTGACAGTTTTCTGTTGTTCAGCAGCAAGAAGTTGGTTAGAAAAAAACCTCCTTTTAATATGGGAAATATTCCTTCTATTGGGTGCCATTGCTTTTGTTCAGAACACGGTTTAAATCAACCCCTGTCCTCAATCTGGCAACCAGCGCTTGCTTTTATTTTGATCCAGGATTGCAATACCTAGTTCAACCACTGGATGTCAAACTTACATACTGCACCTTTAAATCTGCCTATATCATCCTTTAGGCTTAATAGCCATCTTGTTGATAGCCATCTTGTTGATGTCGTCAATCTGGCAACCTGAGCTTGCGTCTTTTGAACCTGAGTGCAATACCTAGATCGACCACTGGCTGTCAAACTTTTACTTACTACACCTTTAAATCTATTTGTATTTTAACTTGTTTTCTGAATAAATGTTTACAAGAATGTATTGAGTGGATCAATTGCCAAATTCAAATCAAGTTAAAATGTTTATAACATGTTTAATGTTAAAATTGTTTTTTAAATGTACTATTTTAATACTCTACTTACTATATAATACTATATATAATATTTATAATACTATACTTTTCAAATTAAAGTACTTTAACTATTGATAACATTGATTAAAAAAAAAACATTCTTGAGCACCAAATCAGCATGTTACTGTAGAATGCTTGTTAAAAGACCAAGTGATGTAAAGACTGGAAAATTGATTCATAAATTCAATAATAAATTACACTTTAAGATATATTAAAATATAAATTATTGTAATCCTATGCTGTAAAGCTTTTTGATCAAGCAAACAGTCTTTAAACTTTTCTAAAAATTCTAAAATTAAAACATTACAATTTTAAGATCCCAAACATTTAAGCAGTTGTGTGTAATTTTACAATTATTCAAAAATGTTCAGCTTCCACAAGTAAAAGAACACTTATGTGTAGTTGCTCACTTTTGTTTTGACTCCACAAGTAGCACCCCCACTTACTGTAGTGGCCTGCAAAGGCACAAAAAGACATGTGGGTCATGTTTTTACTGTACTCTAGTTTGGGCTATTTGGGATTAGATATGGACTGAATTGTCAGCTGCTGAAAATTGTAGGCCCGAAAATGGCTAAATGAGAAAAAATGGCAGAAAATGATTAGGAAAAAAAAAAGGTTATGCTGTGCCACACTGCCCAATAGTGTTCAGCGTGCTAGTTTCACTCTCCCTCCAGCTGTAGTAACTGTGCAGAGTGAAACTTCTCTCACAGAGGATGTGGAAAGGTTTGCTGCCATGTCAAGCAAAGTACTAGAGCAGCACATTTTGGTCACAGGTAAAATAGCACAATATATCTCTTTGTGGATACTATGTTCATTTACCTGTATACTTTTCATTGCATAAAGTGCACAAGGTCACCAGAAAAGCAAATGTCATATAAATAACAAGCTGAAAGGACATTACTATGTAGTATACTGAACTTGTCTCTGCTGTGTGCAATAGGGCTTGTAAAATAACTCCTCTCCTTTTGATAAAAATGTGTTTATTTATTGCCATGTATTTTTTTAAATCAATATAATCTAAGTGGTTGAGTAAAATTTAAAAGTCTTTCAAAACTATGTTATTTGATAGAAAAAATTAATCGTTATTACAAAGCATTTTTTCTGTCCAGTTGTGGCCTAGAGTCTTCATTTCAGTGCATCCATATTTTTCATAATTTTGACTCCATTTTCTCCTCTCTGCTATCTTTCTCACAGGGTGTCCATTCCGCCACAGCGACCCTGAACTGTTGAAACAGAAGTTGCAGTCTTATAAAATCGCTCCTGGTGGGATCAATCAGGTTTGTCCAACAACTAAAACACACACTTGAGCAAACTCAGCACAATGTGAAAAGACTGAGAGGTGGCCACTGGGTAAAGATGGGTCTGTTTTAAGCGAAGTGTCAGTTAAAGTGTAAAGGGCTTTTGTGTGTGTGTGTTTAGCTTCACATCCATTAAAATGATTTGCACCAATTCACCTCTACGTAGCCACAGACCAAACAATGTCTACCAAATAATGAGCTGAAAGGACATTAGCTTGACAATTAAAATGATACGATTGTATAATAATAATGCGAGAAAAATGGTGTGATTCATTTTTAACAAGGCATCCCTGAAAGCACCATCCTGCAGTACTTCTGGAATATTAATGAATCTGCTGTACTTCTGGAATATTAATGACAAAAAGAAATAACGCTCTGGATTCTCCAGTGTAATGACAGCTTCAGCTCTCTGTGTTGATTACTTTGACCTTTGCTGTATCCAGTGATTTGATGCGTTCTTTAAAGTACTCTTAAAAGTCATTTCAGCTTACTTTCTCCCCCCATACACATTAAAGTAGCTGTAATGGGCCAGGCAGTGAAATGAGATGGACCAGCCTTGCTGTAATGTTCTCATGAAGTTATAATCCTTCCGTGCTAATGTAATTAACAGGCTGGTTTTAATAAGGCTGTTAAGTTTTTAACTTTAAAAGGCTCTTTAAAAAGAACATATATGTATACACACACACACACACACACACACAAAGTTAAATGTTGCATACTGTCTACAGTTTTTCTCTTAGGGTTTAGCTGATATGACTAAAGGCAGATATAAATAGTTCAATACAAATATGATTGAAATGTTTAAAGGGCACCTATTTCATCCCTTTTTCAAGATTTTACATAAGTCTTTACACAATGTGTCTCCACAATGTGTCTGTAAAGCTTCAGCTCTAAACACCCATCATATTATTTATTATATCTTTCAGAATATTGGAATTATCTGCTTTGAACACATTAGCCCCATTCACACGAGCAGAACTTTTCTGTAATTTTCTGGAAAGGTCTGTATGTGTGAACAGGCCCTTTTTGGAAATACCAGTTAATTTGTTTTGCCATTTGTCCAGAAAAAGAAAGTTGTAACATTACTGGTTATTTTTGCTGAAATGCTGCTCTTTGTGAACGCAGAAGGAAAATTGCGGGAAAGAGTGCGTTCACGTGAGGTGTCTACTCCAGCCAATCAGAACATTTAGCAACAGTGATAGAGCCAATTTGGTGAATGGAGATCATTGGGAGGCCATGATTGTTAGGGCCGATTGAGGGACTTTGGCCAGGACACCAGGGTTAAAACCCTACTCTTTACGAGAAGTGCCATGGGATTTTTATTGACCACAGAGAGTCGGGACCTTGGTATGTCTTATCCGAAAGACATTATAACAATATAACAACCGTAGGTTCTACAATATAACAACAATATAACAACAAACGATATAACAACCGAAGGTTCTGTGTTTTTGACATTTTTGCAAGTACACTAAAGTCTGACTGAAAAAAATGTATTAAAATTTTAATTAAAATCTAATTTAATATTTAATCATATAATTCATTTCAATTCAATTCAGCTTTATTTGTATAGCGCTTTTACAATGTAGATTGTGTCAAAGCAGTTTCACATAAATGGTCATAGTAACTGGAACAGTGTAGTTCAGTTTAAGTTCAGTTCAGTTCAGTTTAGCTCAGTTTAGTGTGATTTAAAATCATTACTGAGAGTTCAAACACTGAAGAGCCAATTCATCGATGCGTAGCTCTACCAATCCTGAACCATGCGAGCCAGTGGCGACAGCGGAGAGGGAAAAAAAACTTCACCTGATAGGAGTGAAGAAAAAAAACCTTGAGAGAACCAGACTCAGTTGAGCACGACCATTTTAATTTCTCCACTGGCCAAAAGTCTTGTGCAGAGCTTCAGTCACCGCGGTGGAGGCTGGAAGATGGCCTCAGCGAAGACTCGTCTGTCCCTGGAGCGTCAGTGTAAGGAGGATAAAATTGGGGTGATATGATCATATTTTCTAGTCCTGGTACGAACTCTGGCAGCTGCATTTTGTACTAATTGAAGTTTGGTAATAGAGGATGCTGGGCAGCCAGCAAATAGAGCATTACAGTAATCCAGCCTCGAAGTCATAAAAGCATGGACTAGCTTTTCTGCATCTGAGATGAATAGCATATTTCGTAATTTAGCGATATTTCTCAGATGAAAGAAGGTAGTTTTAGTGACATGGGATATATGGTTTTCAAAAGTTAGATTGCTGTCTAATATGACACTCAGATCTTTTATAGTAGAGCTAAAGCTAACTTTGTATCCCTCTAATTGTAGATTGAGTTGCGAGATCTGCTGTGTACAAGATTTAGGCCCAATACGTAATAATTCTGTTTTGTCGGAGTTTAAGAGAATAAAATTGTTGGTCATCCAGTCTTTAATGTCTTTGATACACATATAACTTCTTGTAATTTGCTTATTGCAATAAACAGTAGTTTATATAACTATGTCCTTTTCATATGTAATGTATTCATAGGTGTGCATTTTAACTTATGCATCAAATCCAAACCTTTTGTTTTGTTTTTTTGATTGAGACGTTTAATTATTTTTTCGTCATTTGCAACATTTCCTAATTGCATTGTTAGTAAAATTTCTTACCAATTTTTCTTTTTTTTATCTGTGCTATCTATTGTGTTCTGTAAAGCAGCTTCTGGTCATGACATGTTCACATCTAAATGGTTATAAGAGATGTGTTTAAGGGATTATATACAACATCCTTCATTTATACTCTTATGTAAAGAGAGATCTCCCTTTAAGTATCATACTTAGAGGGAAATTGTGCTTTATGCATTATAAAGCTTGAAGTGTCAGAATCGGAACTTGGCATCATCCGATCACCATGACAGTGTATCGGTACTCTGTATCGGTTGCACAAATCCTGACCGGAGCATCCTTAATTTAAACAAATATATTTAAAGCACAACTAAAAGTGATACTGTATGAGAAAAATCAAGTCTCTCTGTCACATCAATCCAGATGTGTTCACACTTGATGTTAATTACATCATATTAGTCACTGTAATATCCCTTGCAGCACATTTCAGATAATAAAAAACAGCTCTTATTCCAGAAAATAAAGCATTTCAAAGTGAACTAAAATCATTCTTACCTATTTGAAAACGCTAGCTGGTTAGGTGTGTATTTTTTTTTTCTTTCTATCTTTCTCCTTCCACAATGCTCGTCCACTACCACCCATCGTGCAGTTGAGGGAAATGGCTGATGGCTGCCTAATGCAGTCCGACATGCCAGCCCAAGGGTAGCACATTTCCAATCCAATTAAATTCATAATTTCATTGGAGACCCCAAGCAGTGTCCTTATACACTCTCAGTGTTCGGAGTCTTAGACCTGTGGGTGTGTGAAGCAACAGCTTGATGTTCACCCCAGGAGCTCTCACAGCACGTGGCCCTCGCTCCTCTCGCAGAGCCAACCCAGTGCGCTGGATAATTAAAAAGCTCAGAAAATGTGAAAAGCCTGAGCAGTCGGGTGATTAAAATGCAGAACGTCAACCTGTCTATTGACAAAGTGACATTACAGTCAAAAGGGCGAGACTCCAGTCTAGAGGGAGAACTACTGTTAGAACACGGAGCTCACCATCACAGCGGGACTCCTACCTCTGGAAGTGCAGATTAAAGGATTGCATGCTTGGTTCACAGTTCAAACAGTGAAAGACGCATGTAGAGAAAATGGAGAGTTCATGCATAGCGTGCATGCTACGATTTTAAACTCGTTGCTTTTCATGCCATTTAATACTTGAACGTCACTTAAACCTGTAGTCTTATGCTGCAGTAATTTGTTTGCTGTTAGATTAATACTGTTTAGCGACTAGCATAATAATGTAGTCAGAATAAAATTACTTTGTGCCTGATTCAGCTTTAAGCTGTAGAAAAGGGTAGAGCTGTGAACCAACACTGGTCTCATGGCTCGGTTTGGTTACGATTATTATGCCATTCATTCTGTTAAACCCTATCTCAGTGATGGTGCATTGACAATGCTTTCCATACACAATGCAGTTTTTTACTTCACAGTGCAAAAATTATTGTATTAAAATGTATATTTTTGTATATATTTGTATTACAGTTTTGTCTTTTAATAAAAGCAGACATATATATGAACTGCACCTTTAATTTTACCTGCTCAGAAAAAAACACTTTTTTTAAATGTATTAAGTAAAACTCAAGTACTTGCACTGAACAACATGAGCCTAAAATAAATTAATATTATGCCGCTTGCTTTTTGAGCATTATTAAACGAGTTGTTAAACGCCTATGACTGGTCATGCGCGTAACAGAAATGGCCGCAATTGGCTCTTACATTTTGTTTACCGATGAGTAACACTGTGGATGAAGGGACGTTGCGATCACAGCTGATCCTCGATAGACGCGGTGGAGAAAACTCGCTCTGAAGACACGCTCCTATTTGGATCCTTCCGGTCAAAGGTCCACACTGAGAGAGAGAAATGGAGTTTACTTTCATTTTCTCCACAGCAGTGAAATAGGGGCTTCTCCTGTAACTTCCGTGTCAGTAAATGACTGTCCAGCAAACACACGCAGTCAAACGTGCAAAGTTTCTGTATTTTAATTACTCGCGCTCGCCTCCCTTGCCATAGTATTCTAATGCGACATAGCGCATATGAGATAAATGATGTCAGTACATAACAACTGATTATGGTCTATAACTGAACTAATACCGAATTGTCAGCATCTGCATCGCTGTGCACTGAGAAAACAATACATTTCCCAATTTCATTTAATTTTAGAGCGAATTTTTAAAACCTGAGTTATTCATTCTACGGTCGTTAAAGATTGATTAAATTTCTTAAATATTTTACCATATACTTTTAAATTAAAAAAAAATCGAAACGCTTACACGACCCTACTTTTTCCCATTACATTTGAAAAGATTAGAATGAAAGGATACGATACTTTGCATAATGGAAAACAGTAGTTATCATCTGCAAGTGATTGTTGTATACACATTTAGTATGTCTTGTCATAATTCAAACTAACAAATACCCAACCAGAAACTTGGAATAAATGCTTTCTTAAACAATGATAATATAAAGAGTTGTATTTATTTCTAGTCCCTACAGTCCTGAGATCTAGTCCTAATTTCTTATTTAAACGGGTGTCCTGATGCTATGCGAACAGATTTTTTTACCCAAGTTAAGGGGTGGACTCTCATGCTCAAGCATGTCAAAATTTCAAAAAATGATTTGGATGTAATTTTGAGTTCCTTTTCCAAAATTCTTAGCTTCAGGTCATCTAGTTTCACATTTTTCCCCTTTCTTTCCGAGTCTGGCTCTTGATTATGTAACCAAGAGTAGAAATACTTTACTGGGCAATTCTCCCTGAAAAGCATGCATGTGACAAGCACAAGTATGTGCCTATCACCCCGCAACAGTACTAGAGAGGATTTGGCTGAGAATGAGTTTCAAAAAGTGTGCTTTTGGGTGTGGGGAAAAGCTGATCATGCTGAGCCAAAGTTATTATAACCCTTTCACCCGTACGTTTTAAATACTTTAGCAGACCCCCTTCAAATTTTTTATTTATAAATTAGATGGTGACGCATCTAATTTATGAAACCACAGCCCCATGCAGTGCAGTGAAGATTAGGGCTGCTGGATTACAGCACATCAATTCATCAACTTTTCCTAAACTGCATGGAAGTGGTGTTTCTCAGTCTGACTCTGCCCCAGCCATTAAAAGAGTGCAGATTTCAATTTAACAGCTGATCAATGGTGAACTGAACTATCTAATCACACCAGTGTGATCGTTAGCCCTAGGAACCAAGCTAGACTGATCACACTCTGCTGTGACTTTATCAAAGGGTTAGAATTACAAAGTTCCCCTGTTTTGTTAACAGCAATATTGCTGGGTTTAGTCGGTCGTTAAAATTAAGCTGCATGCTTGTGCAGTTGACTCATTTGATTTGCTCATGGCGTGCCTTCAGGCTCTTTAAAAAGCTGTAACATTGTCTTAAATTATTTACAAAAAACCCTTAAGACTAAAGAAATTGAGCAATGTCAAAACTAGATTAATATCTGTGGTTACTGATTGTAGTCTTAAATAAAGTGATTACTATTTACATTAATTTTTTTGATATAAGCATTTTGTTGAAAGATTATTTTTATTATTATTTTTATAAAATTATTATTATTATTTTTTTGTCAAACGAATTAAGTAGCTGAATATGTGTACAGTATCTTTAGCTACCTACAATTATAGTTTATGAAAAACCCCACAGTTTGCTGCTAGCCAAATAAGTTTTGTGTCAGTGTGCCGTGCATGTTGTTATTTTGTCTCAGTTATGTTATCCACAGGCAATATGTTAAACCAGTGAAATTTATCTTTTTTTTCACAACATAAACTGGACCCCTAGCTGGAGTCTTGCTGTATGTTTTACCATTGCTCCTCCACAGTGTTTGTCTCTCCAGAGCTTCGAGTTAGGTGTTGGATGGTGTTGGCTCTCACCTTTAAAGCCATGTATTATGCATTTCTGCTCTTGCCGATGTTAGCTGAAGTGGAATGCCACACTTTACCATGGGGAATACATGGTGTTAAAAGCATCACCTGAGGGGAGGTCTGAGCAAAAAAGACAGTGAAAAAGAAGCAGATTCCATACACTTCTCCATCTTTCTTTGATGCTAGTTTGCCTTTGTCCCTCACCTGAAACCTCATAAGCATGTGCAGCATCGACAAAAATAGCACAATGCATTGTTAACACTGTCATTCTTCTTTGGTACACATCAAAAGACTGCTTGGATATTGATTCGACATTTTTGGCTGTGATTAAAGCTGCCACTAATGCTGCCAGCCATCATGTTGTAGTTTGATGGCAATTGAGAGTTGATCATGAACTCTTTTTAGACATCAACTACAGTTACTGAACATAAATATGAATGCATTTGTGTTCTTTACCTACACATGTAATAAACAGTACATACACTGCTATGAAAATTGTGTGTCACTTTGCTTGACTTCTCTGAATATAACTTTTATATTCTTTTGTTTTGTTCTGCAAACTGCTGATGGCATCTCTTCTGCACCCTCAAAAATAAAAGTACAAAAGCTGTCATTGGAGTGATAGCTTTTCAAAAGGAACCATGTTTGTGATTTAAAGTTACAAATTAGTAACTAAAATGTATGGTATAGCACCTTCTGTGCTGTGAAGCCAAATTCACTTTGCATTTACAAGTACAAAAGTGGAAGATGCCTGTGCAGCTGAAAATCAGATATGGTTTGTGTTTGGTTTTTGACGTGTTCTATAACTGGTAGGCCAGTCAGAACAGGCTGTCCATTCTGACCAATCAGAGCAGTATAGGAATTCTTAAGGAAGAAGTTTAGATGGATCAGATCCTTAAATAACAAAAAAAAAAAAAAAAAAAAAAAAATATATATATATATATATATATATATATATATATATATATATATATATATATATATGGAGCCAGATCAGTCTCAAAAAGACTACACAATTCACATTTACAAAATCCAATTTGTAAGTTCAAAACTCAATTCATTAATACAACGCACCATTTGTGAATTCCCAAATAAAAGTCATAATTATTTTTGCCAAATGAATTGGAATCTTTTTTTTTTACTATAAAATTGGATTTGTATATTTTTGAATAGTGTTTTGAACTTCAGAATTAGATTTGTGTATTTTTTTTTATCGTCTTTTGAACTTCCAAATTAGATTTGTGTATTTTTGAATCCTGTTTTGCTCCTCGATTTGTATTTTTAGATTGTGTTTTGATTTTACGAATTTTATTTGTGTATTTTCTAATAGTGTTTTGAGCTTCCGAATTGAACTAGTGTATTTTTTAATCATGTTTTGAACTTCCGAATTGGATTTGTGTATTTATGAATCATGTTTTGAACTTCTAAATTTTATTTTTGCATTTATGAATCATGTTTTGAACTTCCGAATTGGATTTGTGTATTTTTGAATGGTGTTTTGAACTTCCGAATTGAACTAGTGTATTTTTTAATCATGTTTTGAACTTCCAAATTGGATTTGTGTATTTATTTTTGAATCGTGTTTTCTACTTCCGAATTGAACTAGTGTATTTTTTAATCATGTTTTGAACATCCGAATTAGATTCGTATATTTATGAATCTTGTTTTGAACTTCCGAATTGGATTTGTGTATTTATGAATCTTGTTTTGAACTTCCGAATTGGATTTGTGTAATGTTGAATCGTGTTTTGAACTTCCGAATTGAACTAGTGTATTTTTTAATCATGTTTTGAACTTCCGAATTGGATTCGTATATTTATGAATCTTGTTTTGAACTTCCGAATTGTATTTGTGTATTTTTGAATCGTGTTTTGTACTTCAGACTTGGATTTGTGTATTTTTGAATTGTGTTTTGTACTTCAGAATTGGATATGTGTATTTTTGAAATGTGTTTTGTACTTCCTAATTGGATTTGTGTATTTTTTTTAATCGTGTTTTGCATTTCCAAATTGAATTTGTGTATTTTTGAATCGTGTTTTGCATTTCCAAATTGGATTTGTGTATTTTTGAGTCGTGTTTTGCATTTCCAAATTGGATTTGTGTATTTTTGAATCGTGTTTTGAACTTCCGAATTGTATTTGTGTATTTATTAATTGTGGTTTGAATTTCCGAATTGCATTTGTGTGTTTTTGAATCGTGTTTTGAACAAAAAAATTGGATTTTGAAAATGTAAATTGTGCTATGAATGTATTAATTTTATTTTGTTAATGTATACTTTTTGAGACTGGTCTGGCTCCATAAAACAATAGTAGTAGTGTTGTAGTACATATTATAAGAGTAATGTGTGCCCATGTTTTTACTCTTGGAATGATATAAACCTGTTTTAAGAGACTTTCAAAACAAAATTAGACTTTAAAATCACATATTAGGGATGTTTCTGCTTAAAATTTAATAGTCGTGTCGCAGCTTAGTGTTTTTTCTGTTAGCTTCCCTTATCTGTAGGGAGGTTTCTAAAGTATGAAGGCACATTACACCAGAAAGCTCTCATTTTTATCTGTCAGAATGGAAAAACACTTTTTTTTTTCTCCATTTTGGGAAAAACTCCTGTTTTTTAGATTTACACAACCTTTGTGGTGTGGTATGTTTGTCACTGATTTCTATCTTATCATGCTGGAGACACATTAGAATAAAGGTGTAAATAAAATATATTACAGCTAAAGAACATCCAGTTACTCTCTGGATAAGAAGTGCATGCTAATGCCAAGTTTGAGGTGCCTTCGACCTCTAATGCCTTTTGTTGTTTTGTGAAGCCAAGAGGAGTAGTTTTTTTTTTCTCTCTAAATATCTTATCTTTAATCATTTAAGCAGATTTTTTGGGTTATACGTGTCAATGTTTCTAAATAATGAAGACCTCTCTTTTTGTTATCAGTCTTGCTGTTTTCCTTTTTTTTTGTCTTTTTATTGCTCTCTTTCTCCCAAACGCTCACCACTTTCCATCATTTTCTCTCCCTGTCTCTCTTTCACAGATTCTAGAGCTGGTCAAGGGAATGCACTATCAGCTGGCCTGCCAGAAGTACTTTGAGCTGACACACAGTGTAAGGATGCTTTTCATTTTGTTGTAATTGGGCCTGCTTTTGTCAGCTCAGGGACTGCAAAGTCTTTGCACAGCCTGACCATTGTAGTCACATCTGCCATGAACTGACCTCCAAATGAATCCTTATGTGGAAAGTTGAATAAAATGCTTTAAGACTCATTAACTCGCCACAATAGACAGATCTATTTAATCTATGTTTATTAGCAATATGGTTTGTTACATTTGATCCTTTGCCATAATTCTGTATGCTGTTTTTGGATCTGTCTCAAATGGCTCACTTGATGTGAATTTTCAGACATACGATGACTGTTGCTTGTGTCAGTAAAGTCCATGAGCCCGTAGGGTGCCCCATTTGACATTTGAGATCTTAGGGTATTTTTGAAACAAATGATACTTTAAACCTCTGTCAATTTTGTTGTTGTTTTTTAACATTGAATGGAAACAGTGCTTTATTAGCAAATGGTTTGTGATTTTCCAGTTTTGTGCATAAGTTTAATTTGCATCATTGAATGCATATATAGCTATTGATTAAAAATATGTGAATTAGATTGATCACTTAATCTTTTTTATATTTAATATCTACTTGTAAGAATAGGTGTGTTATTTAATTTTTGCATAAATACAGTTTTGATATTTTACGGTTACCTATATTTTACATTTATTTATTTTTATATATTTTAAAGTAGATCTATTACTTTGTTTAATATGATTATTACTGTGTTTAATATGATATAAAATCACCTTTGTAAATGTAATTTGATGTAAACACCAAAATAGTCTTTTATACAGTTCTAAAAATCAAGTAAATCAAGTTTAAACCTTCAAATTTTTATCATTGAATATATTTTGGTGAAGGCTAGATCAACATTGTCCGTTCAAGGTCATTAATATTTCCACTGTGTATTTAAGGCAAGCATTATTTCCAGGGCAAGGGAGCACAATCTTTTATATTAAATGATAAATGTGCTAAATCTTAGCTTTTTCTATTTGGATTGACCTTTCATATTGGACTTTGTGCTTCGCAGATTCAGTAAGCTTCCTTTTGACAGGGCCATAATAGCTGTGGATTTGTGTTCAGAATTGAATGAGAAAGCAAATGATTACAGCTCTATTTAAAATGGTTATCTAATGTATTTATTCGTATTTTTCTACTGGGGAAAGTGAATATGACTCTGCCTGGAACCTTTTTATATTTTTGTTTATTTTTTTGCCAAGAGAGAGAAATATTTCAGAGCGATGTCAGTCAAGATTACCTGTGTGTCACCTGTGCCCTGTCCTTCTGCTAAAAATGCAGCCTGGCTGTCAGGTGGAGAATGAAAATGTGCACACACCAACAGCACGCAAACGCACACTATCTGCTAGGTGACAGGTTAATACGGAAAGGGGGAAAAGACAGTCTTGGATATGAAAGAGATTGGTAAACCTTTCAGATGTTTGTCAGCAGTGTGTTGCTTGAAAGGTTTTAAACAGGATGCCTTATGGGTCATGAAGTATTTTCAGTATCTTTAGGGAGAAATCAGGCAATATACCTTTATGATATTAAACTTGTGAACATACAGTATATCAGAAGAATGTATGTTAAATAATCTTATTTTTATTAGTGAAATTAGTATTATATTAATAATTACTTTCTGTTTACTAGTAAAAGGTTTATTATTATATTTTTTAAATATATATATATATATATATATATATATATATATATATATATATATATATATATATATATATATATATATATTGAATAGTATAAGTAGAATAGTTTATTTATTTTCATTTGTCAAAATATTTATAGCTAATATCTTTAGTTTAGTTTAGTAAATCTTTAGTTTTACTTTGCTTTAAGTATTAGATTTTTATGGCTGCAAGAGTTTATATGCTAGCTGGTATCATTAAAATTAATAATAATTCTCAATTTTTCATCAAAGTGTTATCTAGTGGCATTGTTTTTTATTTTATATGTGCCTTGTTTTTAAAATAAAAATAATTTCCTTGGCAAATGTAAATATATATACACCATCGTTTGAATGGGCTATATGCACAGCTAGTGTTTAAACTTCTGGGGAAAGGTTTATGTGGCTATTTTTCAGTTTTATACGGTTTCTTTTGCAGCATCAATATTGTAATGCAATTAAAATACATTAAGTTTAATAAACTTAAGCATTCATTATGTTGTTCATGCATAAGATTAGACCCTGTATATGTTAGTGCTGTCAGTAACAGCAGGCTAACACAGAAACTCCATTTAAAATACTGGAGTAAAATTCATGTTCATATTTTAAAGACATGGCGTGGAAAAAATACACTTAATGCAGTGCTTCTTGTCCAGTCTGAGGCCCACTTTATATCGTATCAGGCAGTGAAGACCATTTTCAAGAAATCAGATCTTAACTATAGGGATTTCGTAATGGAAATAGGGCTGCCCGATATTGCAAAAAATTAATTATCACAATATCATGTTTCATATCATTCGGTATTGATAATTATCACCATTTACAAAACTACTGCTGCAACTCCGATTCAAAGAGAAAAGTAAAAACACTGCAGTGTTTTGTGCGCTGTGTTTGAGGTAATTAGTCCACCGTTATTACTTAAATGTCTATATTCCATACAAAGCTGGTCAGGCACGTGCACACATAGGGCTCAACCTGTGCACTGCACATGCCCTTTTTAGTCTTGGATAGAAAGTGCCCTTCCAAAATGATCAAAAATGCCCCCGCGTCCCGACCTTCAGTAGCTGCGCGACAACACCGCTCTTGAGTACGCACGCGACAACACAGCTGATCAGAACGCGCGCGACAACACCGCGACACCCCCCCCCAACCGCCCCCTCCACCCGCCCCCTCCCCCCCCCCCAACGCAAAAATATATTGTAGAATATTGTAGAATATTACTATAATCTAACAACATTTTTTTTGATTGTGAAAAGATATTTTTCTTTGAATCAAGGCTAAAACATTTGTCATGTGATCAGAAATCCTTCTAGTATACTGATTTACTGTTCAAGATTAATTGTTATTGTTTGGTTTTGTGTTGAATACAGTAGCTGTGAATATTTTGTGGAAAGGATATATTTATCATAAACCTAAAAGAGCAGTAGTTATTTGAATTAGATTTTTTTTTACTGCATAATGTTTTGCCAACATAGACAAATTTAATATTTGCTTTGATTTTGTTTCAAGAAAAGAAATCTTACTAACTCCAGAACTTTGAACAATAGTAAACTGTATTTTAATTAAATTTAATTTCCTCTTTTTTTAAACCAATTATTATTTCCATCATAGTTGTCCTTAATTACAGCAACAGTGCAAAGTAAAAGTCCCACACACATCCCAGTAAACACTTCAGATCATATATTCTGCCATTCCTGCTGTTGTTGATGCTTTTGCTCGATGTTGAGACGAGTAAATCAAAGAGCGTGTGTATACATTTCTAATCTCTTGCGCGTCTAGATTTATTCGCTCAATAAGAAAGCTTTATAACGGTGTTTGTGTCTGCGCCACCCCTCTTTTAATGCCGTAATGCACTCAAAGTGTCATTGATAGGATATAATGGCTTTTAATGGCTCCTGGTGAAACAGCAGCGCCTTTGCAGTCCAAGGGCATCATTTAGCTGGTGGCCCCAGGGCGATGGGGACCGGGGTCATTGCTGATGACTAATCGCCCCGAGCCAAACAGTGCCAGCGGCTTATAATGCGGCAAAATGAAGAAGATGGCTTTCCTGATGAACAGCCTGCAATAACAGCATTTGAAAGATAAACTGCCGCCTCTCCTCCACCCAATGAAAACACATCTCAGAAATTCATGACTCATATATTAGAATGAGGAAAGCTCTGACGTTAACAGGCGCAATAAAACCTTCTCGTTGGGGCATCAGTGGATCTGCACCCACCATCTGAGAAGGGCTGCTGCTAGACCTGTCGGGATTATTAAATAACTCCACGATTGCGCAATTTCTCCTCTTTATAAACCTTTTGTTTTAAATTTCCCCTTTACATATTCCTTGTTGAGACATTTTTGGTGAGATACTGGCTAATCTAATGTAAAACCAATATAACCAGATTTACTCAAATATCTCAATGTATAACATCCTATAGAAGGTATAAATTTAAAAGTGAAATGGGTGTTTTTTTTAATTTTTTTATAAGAAATCTGTTGTGGTATTGTTGGTTAAAAATGAGACCTATTTGTAGTATTGACATGGGAATGACCTAGGTTTTACAATGTTGATGTTGTTTTTGAAGACAAGCCTATGTCCTCATAATTTAAAGCTGTTAAAACCAAACGTAACCCTTGTATACTGTCCAAATTGACTTCCTTTTTAGGGCTGGGAGGTTTTCGATTGCCATAAAAGTTTTTATTACATTAAAATATGTGTTTACAGAAGATGCAAGAAATTCATAGTTTTAAATATTTTTTACAGGAAATACAAGTTATTTTATTTAGAAGAGATACTGCTCTTTTTCTACTTTTGATATGAAAAACATAATAATAATTAAAAGTCATTTATTTTCACTTTTTTCAGTGCAGTGTTTCCTCTACCATTATATTAGGGGGGAGCCCCGCCCTCCCAAATGGCTTTCCCTGCTCCCCTTGAAGTCAAGTTAATGTTATTGTCTATATAGCGGCAGATCATGGTTGCAGGTTTACAAATTTCTGCTTTCTGAATCGCGCATGGTGGAGTTCACGCAGACACTCTGCTGTATGAGAGTGTGCGTGCCACACCTGACAGGACCGAAGACGCACGTGCGCTCTTGTCTATTATTCATAGCCTACAGCCGCCACAACACAGGTAAATGATGTGTGGGGCATGAGCGATCTAAAAATACAGCTAAAATACATACAGATGCAATGCGACTTCTGTCTATTGGTGCAACTCACGTGACTGATGCTCTCTTTGTTGCAAGTGCAGCAGTTGCATTTCCAGTATTTTAAGCTGCTGTGATGCAAGCAGAGCGATCACCGCTATCTAGTGTCTCATGCAACCTTATGATCTCTCCCC